CCATGTTGCAAAACAATTCTAAAACACAGCATGTGTTGCAATGGTAGAAGGTGACCCTTGGCCACTCGTTCCGTCAAACCTGACCGCTCGCGAGGCGGCAGAGCTTTTAAAAATATCCGCCGGCCGATGCGTAGCAGCTCCCACAAAATAAATCATGTTGAGTTCCTTTTGTTGGACGTGGGGAGAATGTTATAATTTGCAGGAAGAGGAAATTTAAGAAATTCTCATTCAAAAAACAGTTTTTTGGTTCATTTCGAAAGGCATTGTTTGTACAGTGGAAAAGTTGGGCTCCATCTCCAACCTGGTTGAGCCGAACCATTTCATTCCTCCATTCCCCAGCACACACCTAGATCCAGCAACCACACCACGGCAGCAGCGCCGCCGGCGCTCCCGGACGAGCAAGATCATCCTCCTCCTCCGCCTCCCACCCGACGACCCGGTCTGCCTCCTCCGCGCCTCCCTCGTCTGCAAGGCCTGGGGTTGCGTCGTCTCCCGCCCCGGATTCCGCCGCCGCCTCCACGAGCTCCACTGGGCACCCCCCCGTGCTCGGCTTCCTCCTCCAGGACTGGAGAAACAAGCGCGTCCCCCGCTTCAACCCCATCACCGCTTCGTCCTTTTCCCTCGCCGTACCAGAGTACGGATCCTGGCTGGCTGCAATTATCTTATTCTATTTGAGAACTGTTATTATATGCGTCTCCAGTACTCCATAATTTGAGTACTAGCTAGTTGCAAATATCTCATGACTATGCAGCTTACTCGCATAGCACTTCATAATCTGTGCAAACTCCAGCCAGTTGTTAGAAAAGGCAGCCAACAGAGCGAAGTTAGCACCTTGTGTCATCAAATTGGTTGACAGAATAATTGTAGTTGTGTTGTCTAACATCGTAACCCCTTTTTATTTTACATTTTTGCTAAAAATCAGTCGACTGATTTTGATTTGGCTTTAAGTCAAATTTTGAGGCGTTGATTCAGTCTGAATCTTGGCGCACCGGTGTGTCTGTGTTCCACGTGTGAGAGGGGTTTTGGGGATCAAGATGTGGGCTATTGGGTTCTGGTTTTTTCTTCCACCTGGTCTGGACCCGCGCCCGTCCCCCGAGGGGAAGGATGAAGGCGAGTTTTCCCGGCGGGAGCTGCAGGGATGGATGGTAGGGCAGCGGAGCTGTCCCGTCGGGCGAGGCATCACCGTGTGCCGGTCGGTGGGTGCGGAACCAGGTTTAGGGTTTAGGGTTTAGGGTTTAGGGTTCGCTGTCGTCGGTGGGGAGGAAGGTGCGACCATCAGTGCACATTATTATCGTTGTTTTATTATTTCTTTAGTCATCAGTATTTTTGTTGTTTTATTATTTTCTGAATTTCATTGTCTTATTATTACTTCAGTACTTCAGTCTTCAGACTCATTCTTTCAAATTCAGTTTGTTGATCTTCAGTGCACATGTTTATTCATTATTCAGCAAGTCCCTTCTCACTTAGATTTTCATTTTTCAAATCCCTACTTATCAGTCATTCCTCAGTCTATCAGGTTTCTTGTTTTTTATTTCAGTCCTTCAGTATATATGTCCTCAGTTTTCTTCTGTTTCAGATTTATGTATTTTGTCCTTCAATTTTTAAAATCACTCTTTCTTCAGTCTTTCAGTCCTACCTTCTCAGTCATCTTCAGTACTCACTGAACATCAAGACTATGCGATCAGGCCAGGTTTGGGCAAAGGTTTTTCCAGTGTTCGTTTTTTGACGTTCTGTCACTATCTAGGATTGTTCAGATTTTCCCTTTTTTTAGATAACATCGCCACAACTTTATCATTATTATTGTTCCTCACATGAGGATTTGGTTCTTCAGTTTCGTCAATAGTTTCAGTATTAGGTGTCATTTTCATCAGTTTCCTCACTAGTTTCACTGTTCGGTGTCATTTTCTTCAGTTTTGTCAGAAGTTTCAGTGTTAGGTGTCATTTTATTTGGTTGTGCCAGTTACCGCGTAGGTAGGTTAGTTAGCTAGTTTAGCAAGTTTTCAGACAGTTTTCTGAATATCTAAATCTCCCATTTCACTTCTTTAGTCTTCATTTTATTTCTTCACAATGATTTTCTTTTTTAGTCCTTCTTTTCCCGGTTATTATTTCTTCATTTTTCCAGATTAGATACATGCTGGAAATGCATTGAATGGAAGTGTCAGTGTTGTTGAATCCTACCATGATGAGATACATGTTTGAACGTCAGAGATACAACTCACAGCAAAATCATTTTTGCAGGTCTGCGCAACAAGCCTGCTGACATCCGCGTCGCTTCCAGTGACTGTAGCAGCCAAGAAGGAGCTGCCTGTTTGTGGGGGCGAGTCTCAAGACGGAGCTATTTGGGCTTGAAGGTTAGGTCAATTTTTAGGCATTCAGTTCGGTCCAATTGCAGGCTACGTTTTGCTCTGCCTCTCTTTTTGTGTGTTTTTCGCAACGCTCTAAGAGCTTTAGTTTTGTTATATACAACGGAGTAGGGCCCTGCGGATCCTCTTATTTCTTTTGAATGTTTTTTTTGCAGGAGTTCATTGCCCCCCTCCGTGTGGACTGATTAACACTTCTTCAAAGGGACAGCTAGGTACCCCCTTTTTTAATTTATGTTTTCAGTTTGTGTCATCTTTATGTCAGTCAAATTCAGTTTTCCTTTCAGTCTTCTTAGTCTCAAGTTTTAGTATCCTTATTAGTTTGAGTGTTGCTCGACTGGTGATTCAAAAATATTCATGAATTTGGAAAAAGTTTGCAGATTTCAGAAAAGGTTCATGAATTTTTTTTAAGTCTTGGATTAAAAAAATTCATGGGTTTGATTTTTTTCATGAATTGGAAAAAGTGCGCGCATTTGAATCCTCTGCAAAATTGAAAAAAGTTCATGAGTTGAAAAATTGTACATGAATTTAAAAAAACATGGATTTGAAACAAGTTCACGGGTTTTGAAAAAAGGTTAATGAATTTGTAAAAAGTTCATGGCGATCGGGCATGGACGGGGGCAGTGCAACTCTAGCACAGACAGGGAGTCAATAGTTGGATGCAGAATGGGCGACCAGATTCTAGGCAGGAGCCGGCATAGCTTGTACGGGCGGTGCCGAAGTGTGGATGACCGGCGGGAAGGACCGGATATTTTTAGGCGGCTGCTAAATCATCCGCCTAGCCAGCCGTCCGATCTGCCCCTGGTGGCCGTTCGATCACGGCAACACAGCCCCACTCCATGTCTTCCTCCTCTGATCCCATTTCACGAGAGAAACACAGCACCCATTGTGGCACATGTGTCGTGGGACCTCGCGGCACCGAGCCCTCGGCGAGCACTGCAACGCAGCTCCAAGAGCCGCCCGCGACCGCTACATCGCCGACTGTCCTCCGGGAGCCCGGCGTGCAGCACCGGGACCACTGGCGTGCGGCTCCATGGCAACACCAAGCGCGGCAAGAAAACTTCAATGCACCGACGACGTCTCCGGTGAAGCTTCATTGCAGCTCCGGCAGCACTCCATTGCAGCCCCGGGCGGTGCTCCATTGCAACTCTAGCACGCGACAAAAAGCTCCAACGCAGCACCGGTGGCGAGCAGCTCAGCCTCCTCCTGCGTGCTGCGTTGCAGCATCGGCGCCCGCCTCCGGCCTTTGCACTGCGTTGCAACACCGGCGGTGAGCAGCCCAGCCTCCTCCTGCGTGCTGCGTGCATCACTGGCGGCGAGCGGTGTCGCCCTCCTGCCTTCGTGCTGCGTTGCAACACCGGCTGTGAGGATCAACAGCTGGTGGTTGCGACGCCCCTCATTCGCGGCACCAACAGCAACTAATTGTGCCGGGATGCAGCAGGCGGTGGTTGCCGTCATCCCTCCCGATTCGCAGCAGTGGCGGCTGGTGGTCGGCGTTGCCATGGAAGCCCTCCCCTCTCGGATGTGAACAACGAGAGATGGGGAAAGGAAAGAGACGAACGTGGAGAACGCGTGGAGGAGAGTGAAGGGATAAGGCTGAGGGGAAGCGGTGGACTAGCCCACAAGGGCACGTGTCGAGCAGGGGACAAGGTTTACAAAATGAGAGATCAGTCGGTTGGAAATAAACGTTTTTCATATTTTTATCACTTGCTCTGTTCACCATATACACGACTGACATGTGGGCTCACTTTTGTTGAGGTGTTTTTCTAAGAAAACTATTATAGAAATGAGGGACACAAGTGTCTTTTCATGTGCCAATTAATACCGTTTGCTGAAAATATGGAGGGTAGTGTTGGGAAGGAAATTCGGAACCGATGTCAAATAGGGAAGAAAATAATTTTCAGATCAAATAGGAGAGACATGCCTAACCCCTTTTAACAAACTGCTTGGGCTGAAGCATTCCACTCAACCACCCAGATCCAGATCTAGAGACCACCATGGCAGTAGAGTTGTTGACGCTCCCGGGTGAGCTCTTCGAAGAGATCCTCCTCCGGCTTCCCCCCCGATGAGCCAGCCTGCCTCCTCCGTGCCTCCCTTGTTTGCAAGGCCTGGGGTTGCACCGTCACCTGTCCCAGCCTCCGCCGTCGCCTCCACGAGCTCCATCGTACAACCCCCGTGCTTGGCTTCCTGCACGACCGTCGCGACAAGAGCATCTCAGACTTCATCCCCACCACAATATCGTCCTTCTCACTCACCGTTCCAGACCGCCGGTGCTGGCGGGCCCTCAACTGCCGCCACGGTCGGGTCCTCTTTCTCTCTAACTCCAAGGGCCAAAACACCGAGGAATTTCTCCTGTGGGAGCCAATCACGGGTGCCCAACAGCGCATACCGGCGCCCGTGGCTTACGACAACATAAGTGCGAACGTGATTGTGTACCCACCTGCCGCCGTGTTCTGCACAGCGGACGGGTGCGACCACCACGACTGCCTGGGGGGCCCTTTCTGCGTGTTGTTCATCTTCTCTGTCAACAACGTAGACACTGACGATGACACTGACGACGACGGTGTCACGTGGGCAGGCATATACTCGTCAGAAACTGGCACCTGGGGCGAGCTGACCTCATTGCACCCCTTCTGGCCCATGTGCTTCACATTTTATTCCAGTGTGCTTGTTGGGAGGTCTTTGCTCTACTTCATGTTTGATGATGGGTCCATCCTAGAGTATGACCTTGCACGGCACGGTCTGGCTGTGGTTGATCCACCTGAGTCAGACTACATCGACCAATGTAACATCATGCTGGCGGAGGACGGCGGACTAGGTGTTAATGAAGTTATGAATTTGCACCTCAAATTGTGGGCACGGGAGGCGAGTGATATCACTGATGCACGATGGGTGCTGAGCCGAGTCATCTACCTCGGCAGTTTGCTCCCAATTATTGCTTTTGTGGATGCAGAGACTAGAGTGCTAGTGTTGGGCTTTGCCGAGGGAGCAAATGTCATCTTCGTGACCACGGTTGCTGGCGTCTTCATGATCAAACTACAATCAAATGAGGTGAGAAAGGTGTGCGATGATCATGGCTTTCGTAATTTGATTCCAGTTGTCAGCTTCTACACTCCTATGCCTCGAGTTGAGCACAAGGATCCGTCGTTGAAGCATAGTGAGGAGGCAGATGGTACCGACCAAGAAGGGGAGGAGGAGAAGACAGCAGATCATGCACAACAGTTGATTAACAATGGGTCCAATGTTAACAAGGAGGGGGACTTTGTCAACATCCTCGAATGCGCTATCCATGCCACAGAGAACAGGTTAGTTCGGTGCTGAAGCATGCCAATGTATTCTTTGTGTGGAAAATAAATTGCAAGTAGTTCAGTGCTCTTTTGGGTCTGTAATTGTTCTAACATGCCCCTTGTTGCTCTAGGCCTTTGGCTTTTGTAGTTTGGTTTCAGATGTTCTATGGTAATGTGATTACTGAGCTATGAGTGTGTTGCTGTTTGAGATGTTACTCGAGAGCAATACTTGGGAGTTAGAGCCTAGTATGTTCTGTTGTGATTAGCATCGTTTTTATATCAAAGTTCAGGTACCATGCTACTCTACTTGAGAAATGTTATATGTGTCCAGTACTGGCTAGTTACAAATATCTCATCACTCTGCAGTTTATTCGTATAGTACTTCATAATGTGTGCAAGCACTAGCCAGTTGTTAGAAAAGGCAGTCAACAGAACAAAGCTAGCACCTTGTGTCGTCAAATTGGTTGACAGAATTATTTTAGTTGTGCTTTTGTACCGTAGATCACAGTAACTTTCTGCCTTGTGTTATACTCCTTGACATATAGATAGAAACTGAATGCCCTTTATTGTCAGGGTTCCACCTTGTGGGGAAGTTGCTCCAAAGTGTACCGGCACGGTCAACAAATATGGATGCAGCTTGCTATGTGAAGCTCAAGAGGCGTCTGATCCTTTGGGTGATGTCCCCAAGAGTGCGCGGAATGAAGAGTCCGCGAAGAGTTCAGATAGAATCCACAAAGATGGTGCTGGGAACTCAGAAAACCTGCAGTAGCAATGTCGATGATGCTCCAATTTCAGAGAAAGGTGATTCTGAATAATGTGTTCTACATACTCGCGACTCAGGGCTGTAGTGGCGATGCCAGGGCCGCAGTACTGTGCGTTGAAATACTCTTAAGTTTGCATTATTATCTAGGCATATGTATATGGAATAATTTCTCAAACCAGTCGTGGAACCCTCTGCCATCAACATGGCACAGATTGAAGTGTGTTTGGGACTTGGAACAGTTTGCTATGTGGACATATATCTTAAACTATCACCATCATTCATTCGATATGGGACCATTTAATTCGAGTTGTTTTCCTAATATTTTACAGTACTGTGCATTGTTCAGCTTTACAACACAGATCGTAGATGATGTTGCACAAAGCATAGGGAACTTTTGCTTGCTCCAAGCAAGCTTGTTTGTGAACGTGTACCTGATGCCATGTGTCAGTTACACCACAACTTTTTTTTTTTGAGGACTAGAGTAAACAGGCTTACTCCAGTGGGGGCTTACATTCAGAGAGCATTAGGCTCCTTAACCCATCGGGTACATTTGCAATCAGGAAATGGTCCCCTGTTCTCCTAGCTTCTGCTGCAAGCTCACGCGCAAGGGAATTTCGTTCTCTGGCAATGTGAATCACCTGTTGACTAGCAAAACTTGCCAGTGACGATCTTGTATCCATGATCAATCCATAGGTAGCTGACCGGTTCTGGCCACCTTCTTTGAGATCATCAGCTAATGATTTGCAGTCTGCTTTCCACCAGGCTATGCCCGTTAAAACTATTCCCTCCGTTCGGAATTACTTGTCGCAGAAGTGGATGTATCTAGACATATTTTAGTTCCACATACATCCATTTCCGAGACAAATAATTCCGAACGGAGGGAGTAGATGCCAAAGCATGCAAACCCATCAACAAGGTCTGTCCCTCAGCCTCCTGAGCACAATTTGCAGGGCCTAGCTAGCTTCCTGCCCATCGACAAGTAGACGTGCCCTTTCTGATCCCGTGCTACTGCGCCTCCCCAACACTGTTTGCTGTCAGGAAGGAAAGACGCATCTGTGTTCAGTTTAGCAGTTCCTCTCGTCGGTGCAGTCCACTGTATTTTCTGACTTGCATGATCCCGTGGGCAAAGATTGGTCCGAGCCCCGCATCCTTTTCCATCGAGCGCCGGTTCAGCTACTGCCGCATTCTTCCATTCATTATCCAGTCTCGACAGAAAGGCAGCTGACGCTATGACTGGCTCCTTGCCGTCTCCATGCACGCAGTTATCTCGCAGGTGCCAGCATCTCCACAACAGCAGCGAGATTTTTGCACGTGCATTATCAGAGACAGTGCTCAAATAGGATTTGCAGCCAATCCTCACCAGTGTTCCAAAAATGTTTTTCTGCTGGAAGATCCCATTCCTCCCTCATTTTGTATCTCAACGCTCTACTGTTGGTACAGCTAACAACTGCATGGCATTCATCCTCATCCCCACACCCGCATATGTCACAGGTCGCATCCAGTGTGATCGTGTGCCTGCACTTGTTCTTCTTCATAGGCTCATAGCCAGAGTGTTTGTCGCTACCCTCCATCCAAATATTCTCACCTTCGGTGGGACGTCAGCCTTCCAAATGAGGTCCCATATGCTGCGATTATCCGGGTTGTTCGTCGAGCTAGAGGGTTCCAGAGCCGACTATTCTTGATAGTCATCGCCAAATTATAAGCACTCCTAACTGTGAATATCCCGTTCTTTTCAGGGTGCCAAGCAATGCAGTCTCTCGCATTCGACCTCGGCATTGAGATCCTACATATATCATCAGCATCAAAAGGATGAAAATTTTGCTTTATGAGTGTAACATTCTATTCCTTCCGGTCCGGGTGCATGAGTACAGTGATGGTTATTCGGCAGTTCTGTACATATTTTCTCATTGTTTGCGTCTATCGCGCTCCTCTTGGAACCATCGATGCATAGGTTACATATATATACACCGATCTGGTTTGCTTGCCAAGCGCACATGGCCGCCAAGGTGCAACAAGGGTACTCTCAGCGTCCATGTGTTCTGCTTGTTTGCTTTGCTAATCGGGAGATCTCAGTTTTCTAAAAATGTTTGTTTGGTGGTGTGTTCACCTGTGATTTTAGTGAAACAACGACGCTCTTCTTGGTCTGGTCATGAAAAAAACGAGACGGAGGAACTAAATTGCTTTTGGTGAGAATAATAATATGCTCTGTTGTATTTTCGATTTTATTCATTCCGCTTTGGAGGAAAGCAGCCCGGGAAGCTTAAAATAGCAAATGGAACTCTGCTGTGGTCTGCCATTCGTGATAAGAATTGGTACCAAACCATGTTTGCAATGATACGCTTTGTTAAACTATTTCTTTTATGGATTTTCCTCTCGTGATAAGAATGAATTTTTATTTCGTCTTGAATATGATTTTGTGTCATACTTATAACGCACATTGATGTGCGTAGTATTAGACATTATAATTAGTCAGTCAATTTTAGCCCTAAACTTTGAGAAATTCTGATTCCGCCTCTGTTCATAGCCAGAGTGTTTGTCGCTACCCTCCATCCAAATATTCTCACCTTCGGTGGGACGTCAGCCTTCCAAATGAGGTCCCATATGCTGCGATTATCTTGGTTGTTCGTCGACCTAGAGGATTCCAGAGCCGACTATTCTTGATAGCCATCGCCAAATTATAAGCACTCCTAACTGTGAATATCCCGTTCTTTTCAGGGTGCCAAGCAATGCAGTCTCTCGCACCCGACCTCGGCATTGAGATCCTACATATATCATCAGCATCAAAAGGATGAAAATTTTGCTTTATGAGTGTAACATTCTATTCCTTCCGGTCCGGGTGCATGAGTACAGTGATGGTTATCCGGCAGTTCTGTACATATTTTCTCATTGTTTGCGTCTATCGCGCTCCTCTTGGAGCCATCGGTGCATATGTTACATATATATACTCCGATCTGGTTTGCTTGCCAAGCGCACATGGCCGTCAAGGTGCAACAAGGGTACTCTCAGCGTCCATGTGTTCTGCTTGTTTGCTTTGCTAATCGGGAGATCTCAGTTTTCTAGAAATGTTTGTTTGGTGGTGTGTTCACATGTGATTTTAGTGAAACAACGACGCTCTTCTTGGTCTGGTCATGAAAAAAACGAGACGGAGGAACTTAATTGCTTTTGGTGAGAATAATAATATGCTCCGTTGTATTTTCGATTTTATTCATTCCGCTTTGGAGGAAAGCAGCCCGGGAAGCTTAAAATAGCAAATGGAACTCTGCTGTGGTCTGTCATTCGTGATAAGAATTGGTACCAAACCAAGTTTGCAATGATACGCTTTGTTAAACTATTTCTTTTATGGATTTTCCTCTCGTGATAAGAATGAATTTTTATTTCGTCTTGAATATGATTTTGTGTCATACTTATAACGCACATTGATGTGCGTAGTATTAGACATTATAATTAGTCGGTTAATTTTAGCCCTAGACTTTGAGAAATTCTGATTCCACCTCTGTTCATAGCCAGAGTGTTTGTCGCTACCCTCCATCCAAATATTCTCACCTTCGGTGGGACGTCAGCCTTCCAAATGAGGTCCCATATGCTGCGATTATCTGGGTTGTTCGTCGAGCTAGAGGGTTCCAGAGCCGAGTATTCTTGATAGCCATCGCCAAATTATAAGCACTCATAACTGTGAATATCCCGTTCTTTTCTGGGTGCCAAGCAATGCAGTTTCTCGCATCCGACCTCAGCATTGAGATCCTACATATATCATCAGCATCAAAAGGATGAAAATTTTGCTTTATGAGTGTAACATTCTATTCCTTCCGGTCCGGGTGCATGAGTACAGTGACGGTTATTCGGCAGTTATGTACATATTTTCTCATTGTTTGCGTCTATCGCGCTCCTCTTGGAGCCATCGGTGCATAGGTTATATATCTATACACCGATCTGGTTTGCTTGCAAAGCGCACATGGCCGTCAAGGTGCAACAAGGATACTCTCAGCGTCCATGTGTTCTGGTTGTTTGCTTTGCTAATCGGGAGATCTCAGTTTTCTAGAAATGTTTGTTTGGTGGTGTGTTCACATGTGATTTTAGTGAAACAACGACGCTCTTCTTGGTCTGGTCATGAAAAAAATGAGACGGAGGAACTTAATTGCTTTTGGTGAGAATAATAATATGCTCCGTTGTATTTTCGATTTTATTCATTCCGCTTTGGAGGAAAGCAGCCCGGGAAGCTTAAAATAGCAAATGGAACTCTGCTGTGGTCTGCCATTCGTGATAAGAATTGGTACCAAACCATGTTTGCAATGATACGCTTTGTTAAACTATTTCTTTTATGGATTTTCCTCTCGTGATAAGAATGAATTTTTATTTCGTCTTGAATGTGATTTTGTGTCATACTTATAACGCACATTGATGTGCGTAGTATTAGACATTATAATTAGTCAGTTAATTTTAGCCCTATACTTTGAGAAATTCTGATTCCGCCTCTGTTCATAGCCAGAGTGTTTGTCGCTACCCTCCATCCAAATATTCTCACCTGCAGTGGGACGTCAGCCTTCCAAATGAGGTCCCATATGCTGCGGTTATCTGAGTTGTTCGTCGAGCTAGAGGGTTCCAGAGCCAACTATTTCTTGATAGCCATCGCCAAATTATAAGCACTCCTAACTGTGAATATCCCGTTCTTTTCAGGGTGCCAAGCAATGCAGTCTCTCGCACCCGACCTCGGCATTGAGATACATATATCATCAGCATCAAAAGGATGAAAATTTTGCTTTATGAGTGTAACATTTTATTCCTTCCGGTCCGGGTGCATGAGTACAGTGACGGTTATTCGGCAGTTCTGTACATATTTTCTCATTGTTTGCGTCTATCGCGCTCCTCTTGGAGCCATCGGTGCATATGTTACATATATATACACCGATCTGGTTTGCTTGCCAAGCGCACATGGCCGTCAAGGTGCAACAAGGGTACTCTCAGCGTCCATGTGTTCTGGTTGTTTGCTTTGCTAATCGGGAGATCTT